TGAAATTTGTAAAAACTGTTTCATACAAAATGTAGAGCTTCATTTGTTCTTTCAGACGCACTATCAAGAAAAATTTGTTGAGCAACTTTTTCAGTATCCAATTCCAGTTTCAAAGACCAACGCTATTTTCAGCCGCTAGTACATTTTTTGAAAACTGTTGAATAGATGGAATTTTTTCGACAGGTACAAGATAAACATTACTTTTCTAGGTGTAATTTTTCATGCTCTTTCTCGCGGTATGCTTTTCAGTGAGTTAAAGTGTGATTTTTTGTTCCGAAATTTGGAATTTTCGAACTTGTGAATTGTGTGCATTGCAACTCGATTTTCGAACCGAAAGTTCAAAACTTTTTCAAAAATCTTTTTGCCAGAGGAGAGCTGGTACTCTCGTACATCAGTTGGTGTGTTTCTCAAAAGACATAGCGGGAAATCTGGCGAAAAATCCGAAAAAACTCCAAGTGGTCTTATATTTTTGGCCAGCGAAAAACGGTCTCTTTTTTTTCAAACTTCTTTTGCGTGATAACCATGTGATGGTATTCGAACATTTTTTTAATAGATTATGAAAGAGGACATCAAAATCTATATCCTAAAGTAAAACCGAGCACAGTATGTCTACTAGTCAGGGAGAAAAATAAGCGGAAAATCAAACAACCAGGGTGAACCTATAATTTTGGCCACTACTGTATTATCGACCCTCATGAAGAGGGTCGATAATAATATACGTCGCCCTCCTGACCATAATATCCTTTATCATTAGGGGATGTAGACATTCTCGTCTGAAATATGACACATTATGAAAATATACCATTATTTAGGCTTATTTTTATGTAAAGAACAAACTAAACAAATTGAAGTTTACCAAGTAGAAAAAGATAACTAATAGTAAAACGATAAGCGTCCAATCTTGCCTCAGTAAAAGAAGTGCCATCAGTACAAATATTTAAATAGTAAAAAAATTAGCCTTGTTTCTATGAGATTTCACTGGCGTCAGCTTTCAAAAAAACCATTTTTCTGTCCTTTTTTCTTACCAATGAATTTATGGAAAATTGTTTTTCGACAAATATAAAATGTTTAATAAGGATATTTATGTTTAATTCAATATATAGATAGGAACAGATCTAAAATATTAACAATCACAGAGCAAAACGTAGCATGATTACCTATCAACGTGATAGAGATATCTCGTCGTCATCAAATTCGTCATCGTCCATCTTATCTATTCGTCCATCATTTAGTGATTACACATTTTGTGGTGTTAATGAAGCAAACTATTATCCATCGTTTTATCCATTCGTTGGACAAACATGGACGCCTACAAATTTTAATCTGACATCGACTATTGCTCAACCATGTGAATATGACAATATGTTATCAGCAGGCAAACAAACAAAAGCAAAACGACGTCGTGTTGCATCAGTGGCTCAGCGCCGAGCAGCTAACGTTCGTGAACGTAAACGGATGTATAATTTAAACGAAGCATTTGATCAACTAAGAGAAATTGTGCCTATATTTGCTTATGAAAAAAAATTATCGCGAATTGAAACACTTCGTTTGGCTATTATGTATATTGCATTTATGACACAAATTATTAATGGGAAAACGGTCGATACAGCATCATTGAGCGCAAAGAAAGCTTTGGAAGAATGGCTCAATGATCCACAAAATTCACTAGCAGTAGATCAACGGTTATTTATGGAAACATCATATTCCCTTGACACAGATTCAAGTTGTAGTTTGTGATAATTTCAAATGCATTACCAATAAATAAGATGTACTTGATGTTAAATTTCTCTCCCAAGACTATCAGTCACCGTGCTCCACTGTGAACCGAGAAATATACCTCTATTCATCTCCTCAGTCGACCATTCCATAGAACAATCATTCATCACATCAAAATGAAAATCAGGGATATATTTTTTTTGAAGATTTTAGTTAACACATAGTTTTCTAACACTGAAGTTTCAATGCTTCCCTGTCATTTTGATGAAAATGAAGCATTCAGACTTTCAATTTAGGAAAAAACTGACTGCTTAAGAATATTTTTCATTCAAGACTGAAAAAACTATCCAAAAACGTACGATGATACCTTCGGTAGATCTGCACTCTATCTGGTCGAAGTCATGAAAATTCTAAGTAAGATGTACTCGAGTACAAAGTCAAATACTTCGGTTATGAGTTCTAAAGTACAGATATTCTCAAAATGATACCCGTCTATTCTAATACATGATACAATCAGTATACACAGATTTATTGACCATTCTGTCCCAAAGTGTTGTTTTTCTATGTCTCGCCTCGTGATTTCTGCTCACCTTTTGTTGTTATCACTAAAATACAATCAGAGTCAATATTTATGTTTTGCTACAACTAATCAATATTCTTACGCCTTTTTTAACAGTCATATTCATTGAACCATTTCTCATGTTAATACATGAGATGTGATGATATCATCAACCTATTGTCGCGTTAAAACGATCATCATTTTACAGTAATGTTCGTATACGCACAGCAAGAAATTGTCTTTTTCTTCTTCTCTCTATTTTGATTGGCATATGAGATTATTTTCGGAAGAGAGAAAAAAAATGAATCGCTATACTCTAGTGCACTTGAACTAATTGAGCAGCAAAAATTTAATTGTCGGATAAAATTCAAAGATAATAAAACATTGATACCTGCATAGATGAGAGTAATGACTTTTTTTTCTTGTTAGCAAACTTTGAAGAAGTTTCATGATTACGGGAGGTAGTTTGATCAGATGAATAATTTAACGTTAGTTAACGTAAAAAGAAAAACGCGTATTCTATCATCGAGCTTTACCGATTATTTATCAATTATGAGTATTTAATAAACACAATCATCAGCATACAATAAAGCAAATGTTTTTGATCTGTTACATTTGACTAGTATTTCTACTTCTATAAAAAAGAACAATCTCTATCAAATAAATTATGTTTCTCAAGTTCTCAGAACAAATCTTCTATAGTGGAATAAAACTTTGTTTTTATTAAATATTTTCGAGGGTTAAATACGACGTACTTAGCAAGGAAAACCTGTAACTCATTGTCGATTGTGACTAAAAGCCATAAAAATAGTATCAAATTGAATTTTAATACATGTCATGTCGTTAACCGATGATGAGTTATATAAAATAAATGATCTGTATCGTTGTTAAGATCAAACATGTTCAATGTTCATTCATTGCATAAACTTATCTTTGTTCCCGAAACCGGAACGTCATTATAGGGTGATATAGTATACGAATCGTGAATCTTTGATGTCTATACCATTATCAGACGTCAATTTGTTAGCGGGAAATATTTTTCTCGAATGACGAACATTATGTTGATGATATATACTTTAGCTCAGCTTCACCGATTTAATTTGAAAAACGTATAGAAGAAAATATTCTTATCGGAGATCGGTACACAATGAAAATCAACTGGAATTACATTTCAAAAAGGAGCGATGACTCTAGATCTAAGCGTACTCATCGAGTGTAATTTAGCTACAGTTAATGAATACAAAGCATTCTATTTATTTCAAGAATGTTTGTCCTTCGTTGAACATAAAATATAATGATGTGGTGCCTGCCATTTCGAAATCACAAATGATGAATCTTGTTGCGAAAGCAGACATTATAATATTATATTCGTTAACGTAATTATTAATGTTTTGTTCAATCGATCATTAATGTTTTGTATGTCTCCAATTACACTTTCATCGTTGTTTTGCACACGACCTACATGACGAGTAATGTCTTGTACTTTAAACAATCTTCTACACTTTAAAGATGTATATGTTTCATTCTTTAGAATTATATATGACAGTTTTGCTAGAAACTGCAATTTTTATTAATTTTCGTTCTTCATATCAAAAATACGAATGGTATATATTCAGTGAACTGCAGAGCATTATTTTTCATACTTTAATACTTTTTCTTTGATCTTTTTCAATAGTCAGTAACATTGAATCTCTTATTTATAGAGAACTAGTCTGAGAATAAGACAAAGATAGCTACTAATATTTAACGGGCGCTTTTCATTAACAGCACTAGGAAGCTGTAGATGAATTATACAAACAATGTTGAATACTGTGTTATATGAAAAATCAACTATACTATCTCCCACATGGCACCAGAACGATGATGAATACCAAGTAACAATTATACATATTCTTGGTGCCATTTGTGCTTTAATAGTCATTCAAAAAGTCATTTTGAAGAACAAAAATGGAAATTTGAATGGCTAAAATAACGTCAGCTGGTTCGACGTTGAAGAACATGATTAATAATGCAATAGACTAATATGATTTTATCAAGAAAACCTTTTTTCAAACAAAAACTACAAGAAGATCGTAATGTCTGCTATTTCTCGAACAAAAATAAATCTATCCATTCATCCGAAATCGTTATCATAACTCAAAACTTTCTCGATAGCAATAAGTAAAAAGATAAAAAAGTGTATTCTGCCTTACAATATGAAAGAAGTCACGCTTCTTTCGCTTATCATTAATAATCAGGCTCTTTTAACTATTTATAACATTTTTAATCTTCAATCCTGTAATATAAGTAAAACAGACACCTTTTCAATTGTTCATGTTAGATATTGTCATTTATTTTTATACTGTGTTTAAATAACCAATCAGAAATAGAATTTTTGTTCTTTTTCATTTAAAAAATATCTTTTGACGAATGACAGAACGATTAACAATAAAATACCTTTTTTTCTCTAGAAAAGAAGAAAATAATATAATACGTGCATGAAATTGAAGTGACTTATGATACATAACACTGTGAATCATACAATATCGTTCTAAATTCAACTATACATAAGAAAGATTAAGTTTTTTTATTTAAAATTATTAATTAAAGAAAACAGGTAAATTGATTATATTAGAACCAACTATCTTTGTAGTTTTCTTCTAGCATGCAAAATCATGCGATATATTTTGATAAATATGGTGCGTATATCTTTACGTTTTTCGACGAGTTTCTTGCGCACCAGATTTATGGCACTTTTCAAAAAGGTTGTTTTACACTTCTTTTTTTATTTTATTGTATCTCAATATTTACAAACTGGTGCCTCGTGTTAGCAAATAGAAAACTTGTTACAAGAATGATGACAGAGATAAAAATCAATTGTTCGGAACGGACTACTCACAAAAATGTTGGATCAATTTGTCCTAGTTCATCTATTTAAAGGATATCCCGGATTTTTACAAGTTTGTCTGTTTGACTTTGTATAGGATAAAATTGAGAATTGTAAAATGCATCTGCCTGTACATTTTTTGCGCATTAGCACACTGCATAAAACTACAAAGTTTAATCTGCTTTTTGTAACAATTTCTTCCATCGTTCAATGCGCCAGACCATTGTGCATCTGTACATGCATTTTGGGTCGGTGTAAGTCTTTAGCGAAAACTGTCCAAGAAATTTAAAAAAATCTAATTTTTTAGAGATGCCATGGTCAATAAAAATACTGTAGTTTTATTAGCAAAGCTTGTCGCAAGGCCAAAATATTCTGTCCTTTCGGAGTTAGCAATTTTACATTGTAAATACTGATGTGCTCGACGATGAGTGGCTTGTACGTGAAAATTGAGTTTTCTGGCTTTCTGAACAGTTTTTAGAAAAACTGATAACATATTCGTGATCAGCTAATAAAACAGCGCCAAGTGCTGTATTGTACTTCCATTCGGTGCGTGAACTTACCCATGCATTGTCTCAATCCGTGCCTACTTTTCAGAGATATTTACTCTTAGTTACAAACCACTCAGCCAGTAATTCGGTATAAGTTATGAGCAATATTCTAGAGCTTTTGCGGGCTACAAACTGTATTTATTTCAAATGTATCTCATTAAAGAGGCAAATTGTTTTCTAGTGATATACTTGAAGGATGTTTTTTGGTAGATAGTGGGTATAAAATTTATCATTCATACGCATTAATTTTCGATTTTGTATATTGAAGAAAAATAATATGTTTTTTATACTTAAATGCATAAACTTCAATAACTTTCCGTTGTTCGACCAGATGTTTATACCATGACTGTTACTTTAGATTCAATACTATTTAAACTACGCATAACTGGTATACTTGTATGTATTTTTAAGAAAGAAAAAAGGAAACTATGAGTATAGTACACGAGATGACAGATGAGTAAACCGTCACACTCTAGCTGGACAACTATTCTTCTCACATTTTAATCATCACAATTTTCACTATTCGTTTTTCACAAATATGAATATGAAATATTTAAGGAAATTCATGGCATATTATCAACGATACGATGATCTCTCACTAAACGTGACCAACCCGAATGCATCATCAAACTATCATTCATCGTATTCATCCTGGTTTCCAAACGATCAAAACTGGAGAATAATCGAAAATGGACAACCATCGCCACCACTATCATCTAGATCTCCATCGACATATCAAGATTTACATGATAATCCAAATAATCCCGCCTATCGTTTACATTCCGATTTAACTTGTAATACAGGCTATTTCATTCCGTATACTAACGACAATGTTTCTACTTTATCACATTTAAATCGAACATTATCAGAGGACTATACTCTAAGTAGTTCGGATTCTTCAACATCGACAATTACCATGCGTACAAGTACAATGAGTTCAAAACGAAAACGTAAACGAATATTAAATGGTGTCCAACGACAAGAAGCCACACAACGTGAAAAGCGAAGAATGTTAAAATTAAATAAAGCATTTGAAGATCTTCGAAAAGTTTTGCCCGTTTCAGAATTTGCTCGCAATAAATTATCTCGTGCAGAAACATTAAAATCCGCAATTGATTATATTAATCTAATGACAGACATGTTACAGACAAATTCAATAGGAGGTGACTGTCTATGAAGTAAAATCAAAAAATTGTGTTACCCATATCGAGATAACCACCGTTGTATGAAAGAAATAATTCTCAGTTGTAATCCTAACCTATTAACAAAAGTGTATTTGTGTCTTTTGTTTGTACAGAAATGTATTTAATAAATACAATAGGGTGATTTAAATTACAAGTCTGACAGTCAGTACAGTACTCACCAATGAAATGTCAAAGAACATAAAATGATTGATTAAGAAAGAAAAACTCGAAATTGTAGAAAAATTTTCTATTTTTTGAAAAAATCAGTCATTTTTGAAAATTAATTAACCTATGGAAAATATTATTTAGAGGTTAATATTTCGTAGAGAAAACTCTTTTTCTGTTGTTATGGTGTAACAATTTTCTAATTCAATAATAGTTTGGATATTTTCATCAGAGGTGCAGAATCTACCCGTGAGATTAGGAAATTTCCCCCGATGGTAAAAGATTATAATAAAATTTCCCCGTCATGAAACAAAAGAAATAACAAAACAATGCGATTTTATTGTTGCTAAAACTACTGCTTCTTCAGCCTCTCAGTTGAAAAGTATTATTTCTGTTTAATCACACATGTCTGGTTCTGGTATTTTCGCTGCTTGTTCTTGACGTAAACGTTTTAATACAATTGAATCAGATGAAACTAATTTCCATATTTGATATTGTTCGCTCTTTTTGTTTATCTCTTAGTTGACTAAAATAATTATTATTGAAGTCATTAAAGGCTAACATAATTCTTCGTTTTTCCAAAACCTTAAAAAATTTCTTCGAAAAAAATATTTTTTCCCCGCAAACAGCTGATATAGGGCGCAAACAGGTAGATTCTGCATCTCTGGTTTTCATCTTGTATTATTTATTATTATAATATTGTACATCTCTACATGTTAAGTCAAGTACATTTCATAGATGATATTTGAAAACTCTTGAAGAAGACAAGCACGTTGACAGATAGTATGAAACAAAATATATATTACCATGTGACTATATCAATTAAAGTAAACTAAAGAAAAAAAATCTGCAGCTGTGTGATCAACTTATCTGTATTAAAAAATTGAACATATATCATCAAATTTTAGGTGAAGAAAATATGACAAGTATATAACACATTTAGACTACTCAGTTAGCTAATGTATGTGTGTGTATATATGTCGAACAAACATGTCTTATTCTATATATTACACAAAGAAAACTCAGCAATAATTGAATACTTGATAGTATACTAGTATGTTTTGAAGTGTTTCAATAGAGATCAAATTGATCATTTTTTTTAGATTGAAGGTACTGTCATAGCGTTTTTGGAAACTGTACTGACGAGAAGACATGCCGAAATGTATCTCAGGAGTTTGATGTAATATATGTCATATAGTAGAGTTAAATGCGCGTAACACACATCTGTGATTCTAAATAGAGTCAGCTAAAATTTGAGAAAATATAACGGTATATTAGCGATACATTATGATGACAGGATCCCCATCAGATACAATAAACCAACAGCATAATATAATATTTTATTTACGTGTCATTGTTATATAGTTGCTGAGTTAAAACAATTTTAGCTTTTTTTTTATCAAAAACTTCCAGATTTTAAATTGATCATAGTTTTTTATATATACGTGTACATTAGTAAAACTTGTTAAATATACGATTTTGTAAAGAAATCCTATCGCTACAAAATGGTGTATATGATGTGACTTATAGCGTTTGAGAAAAACACATTTTATGTGTATATTTTTACTAAATAGCATTCGTTTTTGATTCCGGAATCACCGAAAGGAAGAAGAGCATTGAATTCCGTTAAGCGTTAAATTTAAATTAAAGTAGTTTATAAAAAGATTAAAAATACTTTCTTTTTGGATATCATGATTCACTTTAATCATTATTACTTTCAAATATCTTTCGCTTTTTAAAATTCTACTTCAAAAAGAAGCCTATCGTTTAACAGGAATGCAGTATAGAATATAGCACGCACTATTGTAAATAAACAGCTCAATAAATTTTGCAGGACTGGATAGTTAAAACAACATTCTGTCATCTCGAAGATTTGACAAAAGACAACACTTCAGAATGCTCCTATGTGAGTTGGTAAAAAGTAAAACACCCAAAGCAAAAAATTAAGCTTGAAATATGACCACTAGCGTGATACAATTCTCACTCACTGGCTGTCATATTCTCCCATTTTCTGTTCCTCTTCGCACTGGTATCACTGGAAACTAACAAACATAGTGCAAGGAAGGGAACATGTTATTTCACCTACTTCTCATTAAAAGATATTGTTCTTCAGCTACATTAAACGCTTTTGTCAAAGAAGTTGTTCTTTTTATGTATTAAAGAGTTCCATATTTTTTATTTATAAAAATACATCCTTTAGCAAAAATAGTTCAATTACAGAAATAGAAAAATACGTCCAAGGAGCATCCTAAGACAGATTATTGTTTACGAAAATAAGATATAATATTTGACATAGAGTAGTATTGCACATACAATAACAAAAAAAAGAAAATATTCTTTAACACTAATTAAGTGTAAAAAAAAATAATCTAATAGCAAAAATAAATGTTAATTCTTTTTTACAAATCATTCTAATTCACAAAATTTTCTATGAAACGTTTTTTTTTTTTGTTACAATATTTGCACAATCGATTTATCTTCATATTTAAAACCATGAGAACGAAATAATGTCGACTGATAAAATTGTTGTAAATCCAGTACACCATATTGTCGTGCCTAAAATGACTTATGTCGTTTTTGAATCTGAAATATGTGTATAGATGGTCATACTTACTCGACTAATAAGATCTTCCTCAGCGATTTTAATTGATGCATTCAGACGATCAAGTCCAAAACGATTACGTTGAAATGCAATAAATTCTTGTACCAATTGTTTAAGTAAAAATAAAAGAAATTCATTATTATCTTTTTTGTATGTCAAATAACCTTGGAACACCTAAAAAAACGACCAATAGTTTACCTTCATATGAAATTTATCATTAAAATCTAACCTTTTTCATTGTTCTCATAATACCATATTTTTGTGTTTCAATAAAACTTTCTAGTACCATTTGTATTGCAACATTAATATCATCATCATTAACAAAATCACGTAAGTGCATTCGTGCATGTGCTTCAGCAATACGAACCATCGATTCTATTTGACGAACAGTAACGGGAACACTGCCAGTAACCTACAATACAGACATACAATTAAATTGATTTCAATCTTTTTTTTTTCATTGTTGTACATACCAACGATTCTCGACGAAGTTTAGCATAAAGTTGAGATACTTTTTCTTGATCAACACTGGTCATACGCGGATGTATACGACGTTTAGCATAAATCAAATATTTTTTCAACATATCTTGCGGAATTGGTTCAACATTAAAGACATTTGGTAATACCTATGTAATGAGACAAATATTGAGGAAAGTATATATATAGGGAGAGCTCGCGTACACTCTTTCATCCAGCGTTATCGATTAGGGGGTGATAGAGGGTGACATACCTCGTTTGGATACAGTTACTCAAAAAATGTTGACTTACTCAAATTCTTTAAAAATTTAAGTAGAGAAACTACCTTTTATGCGCCTGAGTAAATGATTTTCTCCAGCTTCTGAGTAACTCAGTTACTCAGAAAAAAATTTTAGTCAAAAAATGCGTTACTCAATGAAAAACGTTAGTTACTCAGCAGGCTTACCTTACTTAGTAGAAGAGAATCAGTATAATCAAAAACGAAATAAATAGTCAAACGTACATGATTTTGTTTTATATCATTTTCATCAGCAAGTGGATGATGTCTCATATGACTTTCGGTTACAAATCTTGCCATAAGCTCATCCTAATAAAATAAAACAGACATGTAATGATTACTTTAGTTTATTCATTTTTTTAGCTTACATTAATCGGATCAGCGACATCACGAACCTAAAATAAAATGAATATTAATATAAGGAATGAAATATAAACCGTGGATTGCTCAACATACAATGCATAATATATCGAATCGAGTTAATATTGGTTCACTAAGAAAGAGAAAAATAACATTATTTCTTGCAAATTTTTATAAACAGGCAACTAACCTTAAATCAACATTATCCATGAATGTCAAAGCTGGATCATAACGGCCTCCAATAGGATTAGCTGCTGCGATAACAGAACATCGTGCTTGTAATGTTGTAACAATGCCAGCTTTTGAAATTGAAATACTTTGTTGTTCCATTGCTTCATGAATACTTGTACGATCTTGATCAGACATCTTCAAAACAAAGATGACTATTTCAGTCAAAAAACTTTATCTTTTTTGATCTTACCTTGTCAAATTCATCAATAAGACAGACACCACGATCAGCCTACAACAAATACCATTTGGGTAAGATGAATAGGACTAGCAAATGAAAATAGGCTATTTCTTACCAGAACAAGTGCACCAGCTTCTAATGTCCATTCTCTTGTGATTGGATTACGTTGAACATAGGCCGTTAAACCAACGGCTGATGCACCGCGACCTGTTGTAAATACTGCCCGATGAGCGGTTTTTTCAATATATTTCAAAAATTGTGATTTAGCTGTCGATGGATCACCGCATAATAAAAGATTAATATCACCACGTACTTGATGTTTTCCACCTGAAACAGGAAAGAGTTATTTTAGCTGACAAAATCGATATCTTGTAAAATAGAAACACTATGATTGGATTCGTACCAACTACTTTGGGAACTATCCGTCCTAACGAAAACGAATTTTGTGGGTATGAAAAGCGGAAATATCTATTCTAAAAGTCCATCATCGAACTTTTCCATGTTAATTAGATACTAGTCAAATAGAATAACATTCTTACCGGGATTTTTTCCTTCTCCTCCAAACATTGCAAAGGCAATCGCTTTTTTGACCATTTCATGACCATAAATAGATGGCGCCATACTGGCATAAATCTACAAATCGAACAAAGAGGAGTAGTACTTGGATCGTCAAACATATACATTCATCGAAAAACTTACTCGTTGAGCAATACGAGGCTCATTGGATAGTTTTATTATATCTTGAATGTCCTCATCAGTCAATGTTTCAAACGATATCTTATCCTCTCGTGTTGACACATGATTAGCTTCAATAATTGTTGCAAACACTGGCAAGTTATTTTGTATGTTCAAGGATATATTGTATGTATTACGATAAACACCCAACACTTCCTATAAATGATTTATTATGCATTCTCCAACCAGCGTAGATAGTACTCGGGTACTTACAATTTCGTCTCCTGGCCGACATGTATCACAAAGATCACCTAACAATAAAATTTCTTTTGATCGTGGAATACGTCCGGGTGGTACTGTTCCGGGACTCTCTTGAATTGATATTCGTTGATAATTTCTATATAATGTCTAGATAATAGATAGACAATTTATATTTAATCTACTTTTTATATTTATCTTTACTTACTTCTTCCATATTGACTTCAAATGGTCCATTACTCTGACATTCTGGACACGAACCAGGTTTAATTTCATTTTCTTGATTTTGTGTAAATGGTCCCAACGAAAAGCCACATTTTAGACAATTAAATTTGATGATACTCAATTGTGGAAGTACACCAGTTGAAGTTGTAACCACACCATTAATTCCAATTAGTTTATTCAAATGTTCAACTCTAAAAAAAATAGCAGATGAATTTTTTTATCATAACACACAGTCAGTTTGCTCGACCTTAAATCACGAATATTATCATTTTGTAAACAATTACTTATTCGAATAAATAATTCTTTATCAATGCCACGATGATTTGGATATAGTTCAAAACAGAGTTGAGTTATGGCCTAAATGAAAACAAAATATCATCTACATAAATGATGCGAACGGTATGCTCGTATTTACCTCATTAAATATTTTCAATGTTTGTTCTGGTGCACCCAATAGAAAAAATGCTAGCACTTCATCGTTGGTCATCAAATGTTCAAAATCAACAATGACACTTTGTCTTTGTTCTTGAACAAGACGACGTATTGCTTCACGATACAATGATTGTTTACTATTTGGTAAACGAAATGTACGTAAGAACCGTTTAAAATGACGAATTATTTCATTGTGTGGACCAGGCATCACAACCCAATCTTGTATTTTGTGACCTTGTGTATCACCCAGATTTTTGATATAAGCATTTGCCTTTGAAAAAAAAAGTTAACGTTTTTGATAAAAGAAAATATTGGTGCGATACATACATCATCATCCATTCCCACTTCATCTTGACTTTCATCTTGTCGACGTTTACGACCTTGAAAATGTCCAGATTCAATATCCGATTCATCATCCTCAAAGTCATCTTCGATTCCTAAACGTCGTCGTTTTTCTCGCTCTCGACGTTTCATCAATGCATCAACTTCTCGGCGCTGATCAATTGTCATGTCCTCAACATCCTCATCATCAACACCCTCAGCGGCATATCGATCTAATTCCGGTATAGCTTGATAATCTCTATAAACGAAGGAAAGTTTGAAGAGAAATTTAATAAGTGAGCGAATAGACACTTACAATTCATAATCGTCATTGAACAAATCTTCACCAGATTCCTCTCCAGATTCGTCTTGACCACCAGTACCGCCAAGTATTTCTTCTTCTTCGACAATGTTTTCATCTTCTTGTTCTGGATCATCATTTATTGTGTCATCTAAACCGAAATTTTAACTTGTTATTCTTAAACTGTTCAAATTTCTAGAGGTATCATGTTTGATTGCGTAATCTGAACAGAGGACTACTTATTATTTCTACTTTCTCAAAAGCAAATTATAACGACAAAAAGAACACTTCAGTGAGACTTGCCACACTAGAAACTGAGCTACCACTTCATAGTGGTCCAAAGAGAAGAAAGCAAGTTTATATGCCGCATTCGGTTATCACTAAAACTATGTTGCCAAAACTGAGAATCAAAATAGAATTCAATGCAATCATTGTCAAAAAATAAAAAATTAATGACCCTGTTCTTTTCCTTTCATACCCGAGATGTTTGAAGAAAAGCAATTATCATCGAGAAAATCGAAAAAGCTCTGAAATCAACAGAAAATCAAGCCAGTCTTTCTATCAGACGTGAACAAAGCAATAAAAATCAACAAAACATCCTGTGGAAAAACGATCAAGATCAAGGCCTTAAAATTGTTGTATATCATCTAATCTGCATTGTTTTTCTTCAATCGAAATCAGTTAATAATAAACTCGGGAAAGGAATGAAACCTATTGATATAATGACCTCGAAACAGGGCCGTAGCCAGAAATTTGGTAAGGGATGGGCATCTACAAAAAAGTCCCATCTTTACTAGCCTGAATTTCCATGTTAAAGCTAGGTTGAGCACAGGGGTGGGCACGTGCCCTGTTTGCCTACTCCCTGCCTAGAAGTTTTTTTTTTTAGTTATTTTAAAGTTAGAATATATTAACCCCTTGGCATAGTATTATTTTCCTTATTCAAAATACCCAAAGTGAAAATCTTTTCGGATGAGAAGGCTCGAATTTTTGTTTTAACTTGAACAAAGCTTAAAAATACATCATTAGACGCAGTTTTTGACGATGATTACAAATCTGGACTCAAAAACAAATGAAAGTCAAATCTTTGTAGTGACAATTTAAATTTTTAAATTTTAAATTTAATTTCCTGACCTAAATATTTTTTCCAAAAATTCTGAAAAACACACCGTCGGATAGAGAATCAAATCCTCCACCAAAGGGCTCATTTGTTTTGACCTCTAGATGCCAAATTTTTTTTTCTAAAAAAGGTTTTGGTCCTTATTTTGTGAGCAATTTTATAAGCATTTAATCTAACTTTGAAAATTTATTTTTAGCTGCATGGGATGACAGGCACCTCAAACTATCTATCTAAGTGCAAATCAGAGCTTGCTAAGCAGTTCTATGACAGAAAAAATATATACCAAACCACATCAAACTCTCTCGATGTGGTGGAGAGTTCTTGACGTGAACATCACATCATTCTATGGCAAGAGGTTAATAACAGTGTCCGAGTTAGCAAGTCAGACATGCATAACTTCCATATTTCATGTCAACAGCTCGCTGTTCTTACAGTGTTTTCTTAGGAGTTTACATATGAATTTCTGCGCATAACTCATAGGAATAAAACAGTTGGAAATCAGGTAAAAAAGACCTTTGGAAAGATCTCGCAGTCAAAATCTCCGTCGAAAAACCATAACATCAAACAATAAATAATGAAGGATCCTACCTTGTAATGTATCATCAGCATCACCATTCGTGTACGATGGAGAATTTGCCATCTTTATGTGTTACAATAAAATGATTTGTCTGAAAACAGAAAATAAGGTCCATATCTTTTTGAGCTATTAAAGTGTTTTCTTTTCAAAAAATAAAACCAGCAGAAAGCACAACAAAGACCAGAATAAGCCATACATTCGTGTTCGGAGAAACAAGGTAAGTAAAACAGAAGGTGTTTGTCAACTTCTTCTTTTTATGTTCAATTCTTAGATTTCTTGATTTTTCAAATGAACTGAATAAAAATATTTTAAAAATAGTAAAACTAGTCTGATTTTACCGTGATGATGATTTTGTGTGTTTAATTAATTATCAATTCATTCTTCTTTTCGTTTTGATGACAGAAAGATAAAGACTTTTTTCCGCCCAATCCTTCGTGATACCCAATAGCTAACAACCAGTATTAATGTCGCCACCTGTCACATGATGATGTCTGTATGAAAAATTTTCTTGAAAGACACTGTAGTCTTTTGCTGAATATGTTTTAATTTTATTTTTCTCATTCAAACTAATTAATTCATTAACTTTTATTAATTTTCATGGTGTTTAGGGCGAGTAATATCATGTCGTATTAGACAATTTATCAGCCAATAATTGACTCGTTGTGAATACCACCACCCTCATTGTAAACCCAAGTGACGCTTGGGTGGCAACGATAAGAGGTTTACTGTCAGCCAGCTAAGAACTATTTTATTTCGCAGTAAAGTAATTAAAACAAAAAAACGATGTTTCTATCATTCGTACTAACTGCCGGATAACAGACCTATACAGCGAGCATCAACATCTGATTTGTCAGCAGCTAGCATTTTATCGTTGTTGCGTAACTTTTTTATTAGTGTATGATTTATGTGAGAAAGCAGGGTAGTATAAAACTTTCTTGAGTGTACCTTATCTAATTAGCTTTTTCAATCTTGTGTAAAATCTAAAATAAAAAATGAACAATTTAAAAAGTAAAATATTCATCCACAGCACCAAGAGGCAAATATTAAGGTTTCAGATACATAAGTACAAGAAATACTATGTATTTACCGTCCATTTCTTGTCTTTTCTATTGGTTTTAACCTATTAAACATACTCGGCTCTGCTAATGGTTCGCTAATGTCATTTGTACAACATCTAAAAAATGATAAACTGGACCAGCCCTATTAATGAGCTGGACAGAAAAGACATGACACTAAAAATAAATTCTATTTTGAGTTTTAATATAATCCAAATATTTGATCTTGCCATATTATCTCTAAGAAGACTCGTCATTACTTCGCAAAATACCTACACAAATCAGCGTATTATTTTTGCTGACTTTCTAGATCGACGTGTTAACGATTTACATTCATTATGGCACCACCCAAAAAAGTCGCCGGTGTAAGTATCAATGGTTATATTAACTTCAAAATACAACCAAATTATTACTGAATTCTTTTTTTTTTGTAGAAAAAACAAGCCGAAACAATTAACCAACGTCTTCAGTTGGTTATGAAATCTGGTAAATATGTACTTGGCTATCGTCAAACATTAAAAGCATTACGAAATGGCCAAGCTAAATTAATTCTTGTGTCAGCTAATACACCACAAATAAGGTATGCAAAAGCTGAAATGGATAACAGATAAAAAGTTAGTTTGCATTGTTACTATTTTTCTATTTAGAAAAAGTGAAATTGAATATTATGCAATGTTAGCTAAAACTGGTGTGCATCATTACACTGGAAATAACATTGAATTAGGAACTGCTTGTGGCAAATATTTTCGAGTGGGACTATTAGCAATTACCGATCCAGGTAAGAAAAATGAATTGTATTATAATCATGTATTAGCTGACACAAGAATTAATTTAACTTGACCAGTCAAAAACTATTCTTTGCTACACTTGTTGAATATCATTGTGTAGAAAATAGTACTTCTGAGTGTTTTAAATACGAAAAGGTTTAATCTTACTAATTACAATAGACGAACATAGTAATATGAGAACAGTTTTATGCAGATTTTGATAATCCTGCAAAGGAAACTTAGCCATATTAGCTCTTACATTTAATTGTTTAAAGTTTTAACACGTTTTTGTTTTACTTGCTTGTTTAGGTGATTCGGATATTATTCGAACAGTACCTGGTGAGCAACAAACAGCAATTTCTACATCATAATTGACGAAACGACAACAAAAAATTTATTTTATTGAAGAATAAAAAAAAATGATATGTTGTGTGTCGTATAATTTTTGTATTACGTTAAGTTTTTATTTGTTGTTGTTCAAGAAAAAGGTTACAAACTAATAAATAAGAAAAAATGTCACACATCTACATCGGTGTGACATCTGTTTTGTGTTAATAAAAAGAAAAAACATTTTTGTTCATCATGACTAGCAGTGACTTGGTAAAGTCTAGAGACATTATTTACAATGTTACTAATTAAGCAATAATATTACTCGATAAATATTCGAACAATACAAAAAAAGTATTAAATAGAAATACCAGTATTGTTTTTATTTGCTTGTTGGTTGACCGGATAATATTATTTTGCAAATTGCACCTTTTTATTAATAATAGATAATTTTTACTGATTATTTTTTTCTCGTTTAATTCGTTCTAAATAATAAACCCTTATCATTCATCTCGAAATAAATCTGACAGAAAATCATACCTTTTTCAAGTTCATATATACATAATTCCACTAGAAATAGAAAATATCTATGAGATTTAGATAAAAAAATGTTCATAGTAAAATAAATAAGGGAGAAAGTTTTAAGATGGGTAATGTTTGATGAGAACTAACGTTCAGCCATTCTCAGTTTTTCATCTTCATTTGGTGTTATGAATCTTTTACTGTTTAACAATGCTAAATAATGGAGAGAGAACCATACATATATGTGTATTTGAGTTAAATGTAAATTATTTACCTTTAGATTTCAAATCAATTTCTAAATCAAAAGAAAAACAATCTGTAAATAAAATATAAATATATAAAAAAGTAGCGTACTTACGTTCATATAATTGTTTGATATCCAATTCTTTTGCTTTATTTTGAATATGATCGTATCTTCTTGCCACTAAAAAGAATAAGAGATTGATAAATCAGTTGTTGATTTATCAAACTTTATAAAACTGACATTGTTTATGAATTTGTTTTTTTCTTATTATTGAAAAATCGAACACTAATAATAAATTTCAAGTATACCTTGTTAATTTGATTTTAATCTAATCTTACTTTCCATCAAACGTGGTAGTAGTTCATGGTCCCAATTTGAATAATATTCTGTAGAGAGATAAAAGCCATAAAAAAATAATAATATTTATCAAATGTATTTGTATTTACTCGATGTTAAGCTATGAGTTGTTGATGTCGATATTTGTTGACTTGATTTAACTAACTCAAATTTTGATGGTGATGATATTAGACTTGTGTTTCTTGCTGCTTGGAATGCAGTACCTTATTACTGTATACTCTTATGGAGACTAAGAAAACTTACTCTGATCTTCGAATTTTTTTACTATTGACGAAGTTGGCGTATAATAATTAATCATTTCTCCTCCGATTATATCACGCGAGTTGGTGTCTAGTCGATCTGTGCATAAACCTGTTATGTTCATTTTTTCCTGTGATCGAACTATCAGTTCAATTTAATCAAAAGTAAAGATACCGTTAATGTTGTATTTGTATTTGGAAGGCGACGGTGCAATTATTTTTTGAGTGCTCGTTTCAACTTGTATCGACATCGATACCGGTGAGAATTCTCGTTCTAGAAAAAAGACATAAAGATAAACGCTGAAACCCATTTGTTTTTATTTTGTACCATTTTTAGATTCATTTTCTACAATTGATTCTTCGATATCTTCTGTTTTACGATGTTTTGCCATAGGTTCATTAAGGGCTAGAACACACACGTTAGATATATCTGTTCTGTATTACATTCAGTTTATAAATTTTTAATTTCCTGAATTGAATTTTTGCTTACCTTGAACATACGCGTAAACGTTGAATTCTACTACAATAAAGATCTTAGTCACTAGATTGTTCTGATTTTTTTCCTTACAACCTTTGACTTACATTCAGCCATTGCTAACCGTTCTTCACGTGTCAAATTCGTAACAGGTATTCTTCGTTTTTTAGTCAAAGCTAAATTATTTTTCGCAAAGATCCAGTTAGTATTCTTATTAAACTCATTTGGATGGGAATGGAAGGAGAATGGAGAAAACAAGTATTACCGTCTTGTTTGTGTCTGAGTTTTGTTTCAATTTCATCTTGTTTCATTATCAATAATGTTTGATGAATATGTAAATAGCGAAGATATACTAAATTTCATATAAATAGTCTGAAATAGTTGATCTCTCAAAAACATCACATACGTCTTTTAAGCATATAAACTCGAGTTATATCATCCAGGGCATAACCTAAAAGTCAGATATTTTGAAAGGCATTAGCAGAAGTAGTCTATAAAAATACAACTTTACGTTCATATAATGTTGATGCGAGTGGGTGGTCTACTATGACTGACATATCTAAATAATTTAATCAACGTATATCTTTTAAAAATATAAAATCATAAAACAATGAGCTTTTACTGTGTGCAGAAACATCTTCTGAAAGAGAAGATGGTTTTACCGATACACTAGTTATATCTTAAACAAAATAGAATATTAACACATGAGTTTGAAGCAGCAGAATAATATTCTTACTCGTTTCATTGAGTTGTTCAGATTCTGAGACTGAAAGAACTAAGATTTATCAGTAAAACTTAATTTAAAATTAAGTACACTGCAGTTTATTTACACATATTGCCGTGTTCCAATGTCGTTGTTGAAGATCTATCGTTCTGAGTAGTATCATTAGTTTCTATGATGATAAAATATTGTTCAAACAAAAATTCGCTATAGAAAACTCGCTTATTTTGTTTTATTTTGACCATTAAGAAGTTTGTGATGGAATGATAACATACGCGGTAAAACAGATTCATCGTGTTTCAAATAAGAGAAAGTTTCATTGGATGTTTCGTGTTTCTGTACTAAAAAGAGGTAAAGTAATGTGTTGTATGTTTATTTTACTGGAGTTTAGTTCATTACTCACATGTGTTTAAAAAATTAGAATTGAGTGATAGTTCGGCATCTATTTCTGCCAATACAAAGAAGTATTGAAGTTTTTCATTTAGAAAGTCACTTGAAGTTTGGTTGATTTACACATGTGTTTCTTACCGGATCGCCTAATTTTACGAATGATTTCTTCGACCATTACAGCTAAGAAGGATTAGATAAAACAATTAGGCCTTAAACAAACAACGATGCATCTGCAAACCTGATGCACTTTGTTGAGAATTAGATTGTACAAAATCAGAATCCATTTCCAATGGTAATCTTTCAGCCATACAGGCGATGTCTTCAGCTTGAACGAAGAAATCCAAAATGTTTTCTGTTCTTAGATTAGTTGGATATTTACTCGCATAGGATATGTGATCAGGCGGACAATATGGAACTCCTTCAAGAATGAGGTGATTTGCGTGAATTTTTGATAAACAATATGAAAATAAGACTAAACTTGCCTGGTAATGTTTTTGCTTGCTCATGACCAGCTGGAAAATAAGAAGAAAACATCACGTAGCGGCAAAAGTATCCGCAAAATGAATCAACAGAAATATGTTAGGTAGTACTGAAATTCATTATTTGACCGGTTACAACAATACGATAAGTTTAGAAAAAAGGAAAATGACAGTAAAAATAGGAAATGTTGGAACTATAAGAAAAAATTAAAAATTCAATGCAAGTGTAAATTGAGCACATGTCAAACCACAGGTGAAACAAAGCAATAAACATCTGCCGCTAATTGTAAACATAAAAAAGCTCAAATAACAAACATAACCAATACCTTCGTCTACAACAAAATGGCAAAAATTTCTACTATAAAACATTTTTTGATGCGTTATATGAACATGAAGAAAAAACTGAAGTTCCTTTAAAATCGCGTAAAAGCGCTTTTTCGTATTCAGCACATTCGATAGTCCAGAAGATTTTTTATTTTTGGCGAAGCGTATTGCCAAGAGTTTAGGAAAATTTTTGGCGAAAAAAATGTTTCATAGGAAAATAATATTAGTTGCAAAATTTTTCTTAAACTTTTGGCAGTATCCCTCATCAAAAATAGAAAATATTCTGGATTATTGAGTGTGCTGAAACGCGCTTTTCCGTGTCTCTAAATGAACTTTATTTTTCTGCCAGCGATATGTATTTGTAAACTGGACTATCATTAAACAGAATATAACACAGGAAAATACTAACTGATTAATATGTAAATTGAAAAATTGAATGAAACTAACTATACTATTCTTGTCGGAAAATCAATCAAAATCAACGAATCAAGTACGGTCTCTAACTAATATCTTTTCTTGTAATAGAAGTCGGATTATAATTAACTCAAGCAAATAAAAAATAGTGCAAAATACTGAACATATTAACACACATAAAAGAAAATGACTTAATTCTATCTAAATGACAATGCACGATGGGTGATTCAAAGAAAATCAGCCTAGTTTATGCAATTCAACGGCAAAATCATCGATTACGTCTTTTTCTATTTCGTATATCTGTTTAATACTGCTAGTATGATTAACACATACCTGTTGATAAATTTGATCGGAATGAACTACTGTCTAAAAGAATAATCATTGATTATACCGGTCTGCTTTCTGGCTGGATAGCATGACACTGATAAGAGAAAAAAATTAATACGGATATCAAAAAAAAGAAGAGATATTTCTCCAAGTTTACTAGAATTGATTGGATTTCGTTTTACAGAAGCAGTGCTATTTGATTTACTTTCTGAAAACAGATGTTTGTGCAAATAAATCTTGGTGTCTATGAAAATTAAATGTAAAATAATCACACCTCTTAACGTTTTCTTTGACGTTGAGTCCTTTTCGTTGGTTGAATAAACCGATTTATGTGATTTAACTGTAACAAGGAATATTCTACAACAGCGGTACTAATAAACCAATCAAAAGCACGCACTGGATTTCGATGAGCTCTCTGGCGAGACGTTCGGTCTTTGAACATCCAATTCTGTTGATTTCGCTGCACTTTCTGATGATCCTAAAAAGCAGAAACGCACGTTTTTCTATTGCATTTACAGCGCGCATAGTCTAAATGTACGTTGAAGTGTATTG